TGTGAGTGTGGGTGTGTGAGTGTGGGTGTGTGAGTGTGGGTGTGTGAGTGTGTGTGTGTGAATGTGGGTGTGTGAGTGTGGGTGTGTGAGTGTGGTTGTGTGAGTGTTGGTGTGTTAGTGATTCTGAAAGGCAATCAATGTAGGAATGTTTTTTTTTTTTTTGTGCACACTACCCAAGTTATCTCAATAAAGGTTATGGTATCACGTAAGGTAATCAAGAAAAATTTGTCACAAAGGATGAAAAAATACAGATTTTATTCTTGATTTGCGCCAACTTAAAAGTAACATCAACAAATGTTTTCTCTATACCAAGCACTAGACAGGATGAACGTTCAAAACACATACCATAAGTACGAATAACCAATTGTACTAATTTCTATGACAAAAGTCCATTTTAGATAATGACATTAACTTTTAATTACATTTTTTACAAGAAAATGCAACACAAACAAATCAAACATAGATTCTGTCAATTCTAAGATTTTCCAAATTAAAATTACCCAACCAAAACAAAAAACACGGACTACAGTTCACGCCGCCTACACAGTCCTGACGGCGCAGGGGCTCCGATTCGACAAAGTAAAGCATGGTGACCAGGCTTTACTTTGTCGAAGCGGAGCCCTTGCGCCGTCGGGGCTGTGTAGACGGCGTGGACATGTCGTCTGCAGATCTGCCTAGACCCCTCCGTTTCGTCCAAGAGACCCATAAAAAAGAAAAACGGCGACATCGGGAAAAATTGGGACAGTGGCAAAAAGGTATCGGCTCAGTCCCCAAGGAGGATGATGAAGGCGCCAGGGCTGGATCGACTGCAAACGGTTAATCCACAGTCTCTGGGATCGTGGAGGGAGGAGAGCCGGCCCTGCGATCCCGGTCTCGACGTCCTCCCGCCCGGAGCGCGTTGCGCTCGTCACGCTGGGCGCGCTGGCCGCGCTGGTCGTACCGGCTGTGCTGGTTGCGCTGGTTGTGCCGGCCGTGGTGGCCGCGCTGAGGCCAGCGTTCTGCCGACGGAAAGCTCCGGCCACTGGATCCCGCGGCCGTCCACGAGCGGACACGGGAGCAAGCCGCAGTTGTGCATCATCGCCACTCGATCGCCCGTCAACGGCGATGTCCAGGAGGTGAGAGACGTCAACCGTGCTCAGCGACTGTCTGCTCAGACACGTCGCGCTGCTCTCAACGAGGGTGTCACCCCGAGGTCTACACGGCCATACTCGCCTGCTCGAGAGACGTCCTTATCTGCACCGCGACCATGGTCTGTCGGCGCCGCCTACACAGAAAAGCATAATGACTAGGCTTTACTTTGTCGAAGCGGAGCCCTTGCGCAGTCGGGGCTGTGTAGACGGCGTGGACATGTCCTCTCCAGATCTGCCCAGACCCCTCGATGTCGTTCAAGACACCGCAGTCTCGGTCTCGCCGTCCTTACGCCCGGGGGGCGTTGCACTGGTCACGCTGGCCACGGTGGCCGCACTGATCGTACCGGCCGTGCTGGTTGCGCTGGTTGTGCCGGCCGTGGTGGCCGCGCTGAGGCCGGCTTTCTGCCGACGGAAAGTTGTAGCCCCTGGGTCCCGCGCGCGTCCAGAGGCGGACCAGGAAGCGAGCCGCAGGCGGGCGTCGTCGTCACTCGATCGCCAGTCCACGGCGATCTCCAGGAAACGACAGACGTCGACCGCGCTCAGCGAAGGTCTGCGCAGTTACGTCGCGGTGCTCTGAACGAGAGTGTCACCTCCGGGTGTGTACGACAGTACTCGCCTGCCCGAGTGACGTCCTTGTCTGCACCGCGACGATGGTCTGTCGGCGGTGTTCACCAGCATCAGGTGGAGCGGGAGCTCTCTGACCGGGTGACTGCTGGAGCTGCAGCTGGGCCTACCGCATGCCCAGCCCGCTCAGTGCATCGCGAAGGTCCGCCATAACTGCTGGTCGTCCACGCCACGTCGGTTGCCTGGCAATGAAACCTGACCTCCGGTGTTGGCGGGTTTGGCGGGAAAACGACTTTCGGATCGCCAGCAGATCAACATGGACGCCGAAGTTCTTCTTCCCCCTCCGCGACGTCTTCAAAAGGGGCTGGATCTTGGTCGTCACGTCGTTGAGCAGGCTTACCACGCGGAAAGGGCCCACCCTGAACGTCCCCAGCTTGGGGCACCGCCTCTTGCGGCGTCGCGGGAACCAAAACCACACCACCTGTCCCTCGCAGATAGGGTTGTGCGTCCCGGCCGCGTCGTAGTACTCCTAGGTCTTGGCTCTTATTCACTGTATTAGTGAAATAATGAGGCTCCAAAAAAATGCACGAAATAAGTTGTCCTAAAACAACATTGGAATAACTAATCTTCAACTTATCTAGTCAACCTAATATGACTCTCCTTTTGTTGAACACACTGGTAAAAACTGGGGTCTGTGTTTCAAATACTTCTGATTGCTTCCATTGCTGACCTTGTAAATACATAGTCCTGAAAACAAAAGATAAGAAAACATAACAAAAATACCTTGAACACTCTACATTTTTAAGCACAAATGATCACTAGATGTGATTTGATTATGAAATGCCTACCTGGGTAAAAGCTTTGCCATATCGCACTTCTGAATAGACAAAAGAATTGAGTTTAGTAATCAATCTGTATGAGGATCTGAACCACTCAATTGATACTTACACTTGGCACATAAAACTTCTGGTGCAGATGGCAAGGCCAAATACATACATGTCTGAAATTTAAATTTTAAAAGGTAAAAGCTTATTAAAAATACTAATTAAATGATGAATAAAATGATTCTGTATTCTTTAAGCTTACTCTGGTGTTCATTTCCTCCTTTTCTTTTGATGCGTTGCCTTGGGTGTCTCAGCAGACAACTGCTCGACAGGCAATTCCTTCAAAACATGCCTGGTCTTAGGCATATCATTGTATGACCTTAAAAAAGTAAGATAAATTTTTGGAAAATGGGTGTTGTTGACCCATAGAAAAATGTGTAACCATCCAGCTATCTTTACCTTTTGGAGGTGGTTTTTACATTCATATTACATCCAATCAGAAAACCAATCTGAATTAAAACTGGAGCAAACACATTTATGGAATACCCTAGCAACCAGGTAAACAAACATCCTTTA